CGGATTCATCAATTAAAAGAGCAAAAGGGGTAGCTATAGGCTTTGCAAAAAATATAAGGTTTGAGGTGGAAAAGAGAATAATAGACCCAGAGAGAAGGTTTTTGTTTCTGAGGGGTAAGTTGCAGGAAATTGAGTGTAAACTGGCTAGTATATGTTGCCCAAATAAGAAACCGGAGATATTCCTGAGGGAAGTATTGAAGAAATTGATGGATTTTAAAAGGGTCGTTTGATAGTAGCTGGGGAGTTTAATATTTGCATGGACCTACGGATGGATACCACCTCTTGTGTGAGGAGGGAGGAGAGTCAGTCCCTGAAAATATTAAAGAAATCGTTGAATGAATATCAATTGGTGGATATATGGAGAATTAGGCATATGAAAGATAGAGATTATACATTTTTCTCACAGGTTCATGAGACTTATTCTAGATTGGATTATATATTGGTAGAACATCAATTTATAGATACTGTGGTGGAAGTAAAAATTGGAGGAAGTTCTATTTCTGATCATGCCCCAGTTACAATGAAGTCAAGATGGGGTAGAGAGGAGAGAGGAGGATTTGCTTGGCAGATGAATGAGGCACTTCTGGATGAGGAGATCGATCGAAAGATCGCGATAGAAATTAAAAGATTTTTCAAAGAGAATGATACAGAGGAGGTGTCGGTTGCAACGGGTGTGGGAAGCCCATAAGGCTTATATTAGAGGATTATTCATTGCAATAGGACAAAAAAGAAAAGAGAAAGGAGGGAAAAGATTAATAGACTCTTAAATGAAATATCCAATCTTGAACAGGCCCATAAAAGGAAAATATCTAAAGAGATAATGCAGGAAATAATAAAGAAGAAAGAGGAATTAGAGAAGGTAATAGAGGAGGAAAAAAGAAGAGTCTTTAATAAAGTAATAAGTGAAAGATATAGATGGGGAGATAGGCCGGGAAAACATTTAATGAGAGCCTTGAGGAAAAAGAAAAATAGGAATTATATAGAAAGAATAAGGAACTTTAAGGGTGAAATGGTGCATTCAACTAAAGATATCGCTAGAGTGTTCAAGGATTATTATAGCGATTTATATAATAATATACCCCAGGATACTTCTAATAAAGCTGATATAGTAAATATAGAAAAAAGAAGAATATATTTAAAAAATGCAGGCCTTGCAAAGTTAAGTGAAATTCAGTTGAACTCTTTAGAATCAGAAATCACATCAGAGGAAATAGAAACAGCATTAAAGGGCACCGCGGTGGGGAAAAGTCCGAGCCCAGATGGGTATACTGCAAAATACTATAAAAAAATATAAAGAGTTGTTAATACCCAAATTGAAGACATATATGAATGCTTTGGGAGGAGAGATGGAGATAAGGGGAGAGTCCTTACAGGCTAATATAGTTTTAATTCACAAGGAAGATAAAGACCCATCTCAGTGTGCAAGTTATAGACCAATTGCGCTGTTAAATGTAGATACTAAACTATATGCAAAGGTTCTGGCAAATAGACTTAAGGTCTTGATGCCAGAATGGATACATGGAGATCAGGTGGGGTTTGTACCGGGAAGAGAGGGTAGAGATAACGGATTGAGATCATTGTTGCTCATACAGGTAAAAAGGGGAAAACCCCAGTAGTACTACTGTCGATCGATGCTGAGAAGGCATTTGATAGAGTGAGCTGGGGATTTATGATGGACACCCTGGAGGCGATGGGGCTGGGGGATAGAATGAGGAAGTGGATTGGTAACTTATATAAAGGGCCTACAGCCGCTATTATGGTTAATGGAAGAAGATCGGAGATTCTCAGAATGTCAAATGGAACTAGACAGGGTTGCCCTTTATCCCCATTGTTGTATGTCCTATCGTTGGAGCCACTTCTGTCTATGATAAGAAAGAATATAAATAAAAAAGGGAATAAAGATAGGAGATAGAGAACATAAGGTAGCGGCCTACGCTGATGATCTGTTGTTCTATGTTGGAAATCTTCGGATATCACTTCCAAATTTAATGGAAATTTTGAAGGAATATGGGGAATTATCAAATTTGAAAATTAATCCAACAAAAACTGAAATTTTAAATATCAACCTTAAAAATAGTGAAAAAGAAATAATACAGAAAGAATTCCCCTTTGTTTGGAGAGAGAAAGAATTAAAGTATCTCGGGATAAAACTGTCTGCTTCAATTAAAAATATGTACATAACTAACTATATTTCACTTTTAAATGAGATTAAGGAAGAGTTGAAGAGATTGGGGAGTGGAAATCCGTCTTGGATCGGTCGTATAAATCTGATTAAAATGATAATAGTCCCCAAAGTTTTATTAAATTCCAAATGATTCCAATTAAACTCCCAGAGGTCTTTTTTAAAACACTTAGAAAAATGCTGTTGGGGTTTATATGGAGGAATAAAAAACCAAGAATACGTTATGATACTCTGACTAGAATAAAAGAGAGAGGTGGTTTAGGACTCCCAGATTTTAAGAGATATTATAAAGCGGTGATAATTGCGAGAATTTTTGACTGGACCCATAACCCAGGGAAAAGCTGGGTGAGAATTGAAAATACACTGAGTGGGACAAATTTAAGTAGGATTATATGGTTACCTGCACAATATAGAGGACTAGATGTTAACACAAGTGTGTACACTTTTATTGTTTTAAAAATTTGGGAAATGTTACATAGACAAAATGGATGGGTTTTTAATTCACAGTTAATGCCACTAAGGAACTCAGAATATTTTGCTCCAGGGAAGGAAGATATCACAGGGAAATGGATCATAAAAAAGGATGCCCAATTGAGAGATATAATGGTGGGTGAGGAAATAGGAACATATAGGGAGTTGGAGCAGAAAAAGGGAGAAGTTTTTAGCAGAATGGACAAGTTACGATATCATCAATTGAAATATTTCTTTGGGAGTCTCCCAAAACCTGTGAGAACCAGAAAGGAGTGGAATGTATTTGAAAAATTATTAGAAGCACGGGGAGATGGGAGACACGCAGTTGCAAAAATGTATAGAATATTAACGGATTTAGACACAGGCACAAAATTAATATATATATAGAGAAGTGGGAAAAAGACATGGGAAGGGAAATAGATGAGGAGCAGCAGAGGAAAATGCTTAGATTAATTCACGAAAACAGTAGTATGCGGGAAGTGGAGTTGAACTATAAGTGTTTAGTAAGATGGCACATCACACCAAAAGTGGAGCACAAATTGAACAGGGAGATTTCACCATTGTGTTGGAGAGGATGTGGAGAAGTGGGTACGTTATATCATGTATGGTGGGAGTGTTTAAAAATACAGGTGTTTTGGAGCAAAATTATATACTTAGTAAGAAATATTACTGAGATTGACATTAGATTGGATCCAGAGCTATGTCTTCTCCATGTCTCAGAGCTTTCAGTGAAATCATATAAGGATTCAGGATTGGGATATTTCTTGAGCGCAGCTAAGAGTCTTATACCCAGGTTCTGGAAAAAAAGGGAGGTGCCGACAGAGGAAGATTGGTTGATCAGAATGAATCAGATTTGTGCGACGGAAAGATTATATTACATGGATATGGATATGATGGAGACGTATAATATAAAGTGGAAAAAATGGGAGGAATATAGAGAAAAAGTGAAATATATGATGATGATTTATACCCCTCGAAATGAAAGTTGAGTTTAGAAATGGTTTTAGAGAAGTGAATTGCTGAGTGGGAGGGGGGGGGGGGGGGAAAGGGAGGGTAGGGGAAGTGGGATATAGATAAGTTATGTCAATAAGAATATTTCGATTTGATGTTTTTTTTTTTTTATAGAAACAGGTGTTTGTAATTTGTATTTGGAAGAAAATTAATAAATATTTATAAAAAAAAAAACAAAACATTCCATTTTAGCTCTGGCTGTATGTTTAGGGTCGTTGTCCTGCGGGAAGGTGAACCTCCGCCCCAGTCCAAAATCTTTTGCAGACTCTAACAGGTTTTCTTCTAAGATTGACCTGTATTTGGCTCCATCCATCTTCCCATCAACTCTGACCAGCTTCCCTGTCCCTGCTGAAGAAAAGCATCCCCACAACATGATGTGGCCACCACTATGTTTTACGGTGGGGATGATGTGTTCAGGGTGATGTGCAGTATTGGTTTTCCGCCACACATAGCATTTTGCCTTTAGGCCAAAAAGTAAAATTTTGGTCTGATCTGACCAGAGAGCATTCTTCCACATGTTTGCTGTGTCCTCCATATGTATGCTTCTTGCAAACTGCAAATGGGACTTCTTATGGATTTCTTTCAACAATGGCTTTCTTCTTGCCACTCTTCCATAAAGGACAGATTTGTGGAGTGCATGACTAATAGTTGTCCTGTGGACAGATTCTCCCACCTGAGCTGTGGATCTCTGCAGCTCCTCCAGGGTTACCATGGGCCTCTTGACTGCTTCTCTGTTTAATGCTCTCCTTGCCCGACCAGTCAGTTTAGGTGGACAGCCATGTCTTGGTAGGGTTGCAGTTGTGCCATACTCTTTCCATTTTTGGATGATGGATTGAACAGTGCTACGTGAGATGTTCAAAGCTTGGTCTATCACATAAAATCTCAATAAAATAATTTTAAATTTTTAGTTCTAACATAACAAAATGTGGAAAATTTTAAGATGTGCAAAGCTGGTAGAGATATACCCAAAAAGACTTGCAGCTATAATTGCAGCAAAAGGTGGTTCTACAAAGTATTGACTCGGGGGCTGAATATAAATGCACACAACACTTTTCAGATATTTATTTGTAAAAAATGTTGAAAACCATTTATCATTTTCCTTTCACTTCACAATTATGTGCCACTTTGTGTTGATCTATCACATAGAATCCCAATAAAATACATTTAGAATTTTGGCTGTAACATGACAAAATGTGGGAAATTTCAAGGGGTATGAATACTTTTTCAAGACACTGTAAAATCACAGATTCTCTTTAAGCCTTTACTGCCATCCTCATGTTTCTTTTTTTACATATTATTGACTAAATATTAATCTTTTTTATTTTTTTTGTTTCAGTTTGTGGGTCCAAAAACCTCTCTGTAAGTGACTTTTTAAATGGCTTAGAGAATTGTGGATGGCTTCGCCACATCAAAGCAGTAATGGATGCTTCTGTCTGCTTAGCCAAGGTACACAGATTTTTATCGTGCTAATACTGTATGTCATCATGGTAGCATGCAGTACAATGGAATTAAGTAGATTAAAGTTCTGATTCCTGACATCACCGCCCTGACTCACCACTTCATCCAATCAGAGAATGCATACATGCGGAAATTGCACAGCATTCTCTGCATGGCGCACATGCTGAGCAGCCGACTTCATGTGTTCACAGTGCATCAGGCTGACAGCTCAGCACGGGACCTGGAAGAAAGTGGAGATAACAGAAGTAGTGGTTTCTACTTCAGTGATTTCCAGCTTCCAGGGGTATCAGCCAAATATGGTATATACATAGTTACATTGGTCCAAAATGGACCAGTGATACTGTGTAAAAATATATCATGCCTGTAATTCTTTAAATCTGAAAAAGTGAACACAAGTTAAATGCAAATTATGTATAATGTAACTGGAAATTGTAGATTTGGGATCATTATATTATTTACCTTTACAATGTTATTTGCCTTATATGTTCACAATGTTAATAAATCAGTGTTTGTGTCCTCAGGCTATATATGAGGAGAATACCAGCGTACTGGTACATTGTTCTGATGGCTGGGACCGTACCTCTCAAGTCTGTTCTCTGGGATCATTACTGATGGATCCTTTCTACAGAACCATCAAAGGCTTTATGGTGAGTCCAGCTTTTTCTGCTGCACTGATGTCATTACTTTTGTAGAGAGAACAGGTCAGTTGCATACTTGGAAACATTTTCCAAGTCCTGTTACATGGCTTAATATAAGAAATAGAGAAAAAAAGCGCCACAAACTAAATAAAACGAAAGCTTCACTCCTAACCAAAAAAAGGTAAAAATGTGAATAAATCAAAGAGTGCGCTAAATATAAGTAAATACAAAAATTATTAGTTTAAAATAATGATGTCCGTGATAAAAAAAAATTACAGTATATAAAAGTCCATCCACCATCACAAATAATTAAATGGTTCTGAAATCTTGTATAAATCAAACACCGTGCAAAAAAAAAAATCCACCACCGAATGAGATGGGTACACTCACCAGAGCTCCATGCTGACCAGATTATAAGTCAGCAAAGATAGCGTTTGCTCTGGGAGCGATGATCAGCAGAAGTAATCCAAACTGGGAGCAATATACTGCAAGCAGCCAATCAGCACAATATGGAATAGCCTTAACAACAGGTAGTCATCATGTCTCCATACCATGGATCATGTTCGGGGAATCAAAAAAGGAAATCGTGGTGCAGTACGTTTTTAAAACCAAAATGTTTAATTAAAAAATCAGAAATGCACTCACAAACAGGGTGTCTGGCGACACAAGCAATGACAGCCTCAAGAAAGCAGGGACGAGCCTCGCTCACCGCGATATCACAGCCGACAGTCTACGAGGAGCGTCCTGACGTCACATCCAAAAGAAGCCCCACCCTAGGCCAGAAACTATTTAATTACTTTGTGATGGTGGATGGGCTGTTACATGGCTTGCCCACAACCAAAGAATAACCAACAGCTTCTGTCAGCAGTCAGTTGCCTTGGCTTTTGCTCCTCTGATGAGCTGCTAAATTACATACTTCGTAGGAGCATAGGCATGAAAAGTGTTGACTAATTTGTGTTATTTATTTAGAGTCACAATAATACTATTAGATCTACTCAAAAGCCACTGTGGTCCACCAGGCAATCAACATTTCCTGAATGTGATTAACAATGGCAGCCCCATTATTTCCCCCATGACTGGTAATGTTTCATTTTTCCCTCATAACGCCATATCAAGTCTATCGTCAAAGACCTTTTAAACCATGTGAATGGCGGGGTGAACGTGATGAACTGGTGCCCAGTACACCCCAAACCTGTGCATACAATTCCTTACTATTCAGGCACAGCATAGAGCTCTGGTTGCAGTTGTGTCTGTGTTCATATAAACGGCCAACAGCTTGTACACGGACACAAATGGAACAAGGCATAGTCACCTACTCTGAAGTCCTAAACCTAAAACCTTATAACCACTGTCCTGGTTTTCTCAGATTATTTACCTGTCACTTGCTCTGACCGCAGTCTTTTCCAGACATTGTTAATACTCCTCTTACTTATCTGCAGTTATTTTATCCTTCAATCACAGTGGCTTATGCTGCTCAGTTACCACAGCGGGTTCCTGTCCTTCTGATCAGATGACTTTTCCCAGCGACAGAAGAGATGGTTCAGGTCTGCTGTCACCACAGTATACTCACAGAAGCTCTAATTTTGAAGTCACTGCAATAAATATAAATAATTCTATGAGAAGTTCACAAGATTTTCCTCTTTAACAACGACCCCTTCCTACAGACTTTTATATGAAGTAATAATGTGGTGTCTTAACTCCTACCCCTTCTGTACTGTGGGACCCTCAGCCGGCTATTGCTTAACTTGGCTAAACAGTGTATGTAACCATTCAGTATGTGAAATTTGAATAGTAGGGCCACAATAAAAGGATAATTATGCTTTCAAAAAAGTGTAGTTATCTTTTTTTCTAAATTCCTTTGACCTAAAATAACCCTCTTCCCTACCCTAGATATATATTTACCCGAACCAGATGGCCATGGCCTGTAGGAACCTTTTAAGCCTCTGGCTAAAATCATCTTTCAATAGAAAGAAATAAAAACCTCCTGCGCTCTCAAAACTAGATCTGGCATGTGTGGAAAAATGTTCGTGAATCAATGTATTTAATTCAATTTGGTCTGGAAAAGCTGTGCAGCCCCCTGAAGGCTGGGGAAGCCCAAAAAGCCACTGGAAGATAAGAAAAGAAGGGGGCGCACAAGCCTTGTGCATTTTTTTTAAAATCATCTTTCCTCTGGCTGTACTTGCACATCCGATTCCCACAGACTTCCATGGGACTGTTTCCTGATACAAGACAGGCCCAGGAGACAGCTCCAGTCTGTGGGGAATGACTGTGCAGGCATAGCCAGGGGAAACAAGGTTTCATCCAAAGGCTAAAAAATGTACCCTCAAATCCTAATGCCTGGTACACACTAAGGTGTTTTTTTTATTTTTTTTATTTTTGGTGCAACCCAGCGGGCTAAGTGAAAAACAAAACTGACAGATCACTATACTGACACAAGCGATGTTAGTGCGGCAGTCTCCCCTGCTGTGCTATTGTGTTTTGATAGGGGAGCTGCACCCCCCCGCCAGAATGCACTGATCAGCGCTCGCAGCCATTGGTTGATTGGATGCTGGTTTTCCAGCATGCTTGTTCGACAGAAGCCAGTTGTGAGATTGGCCGGTTACCACTAGACTGGCTTATTTCGACTGATATTTGGCCAGTGTGTACCTGGCCTAATTTTAGCTAAAACTAAAAACAGACGAATGAGCAAAAGGGACATAACTTACAGTTAGTATGATGTCACCCTTGTCCATATTCTTCTGCTTTCAATAGAAATCTTGCTGTGTTCACTGCTTTTGCTCCCAAATTAAAAGAGACTGTTTGGGCTCTTATTAATGCAGTGCACAGCATTCTAGACCTAGAGATCAGCCCGTTGCTTATACCAGTCTTGGATCATTTGAAACTCTTAAGGCTGCAAATAATTATCTTTTTCATGCACATTTTCGGCTATTTCTCAATGGGGATTAGAAACATCCTGACAAGTTGTTTGCTCTTCCAAATGTTTATTATCCTTGCAACCTATTAATGAGGATTTTGCAAAGAAGTGAAATTTAAATGAATCCTGTCACAAACCTATGCAATGTACACTGAGCACATGATGAAACCATACATAGACAATGGTCGTGTGAAGTAAAAACCACATGTCAGTCAGGAGAGCCAGAGCTGTCTACAGCTGAATTTATATGCAAATATACACTTTTCCCATAAAAGCCTATCTTGACTGAGTCCACAGAGCAAAGGATTGATTTTTTTCTTATTACATCAGGGTTATAATCCAATAAAAGTTCAAATGTTAACTGACTCATAGAAATAGTACTTAGCTGGGTTCTTTTTAAAAGTAAGATATCAGAATAAGAATATAGCCAGTTTTTTGTGTATTGTTTTAGGAAGTGAACTACAGTTAGGTACATATACAGTGAAGGAAATGATCAGTCTAAAAATCAAATGGTAGGTGTATTGTAACACTGAGAGACAGAATAGCAACAAAAAATTCACAAGAAATGCATGTCTAACAAATTATGCACTGATTTCCATGTTCATGAGGGAAATAAGTATTTGATCCCCTTCACAAAATATGACTTCGTACTTCAATCACAGAGATCAGATGTTTCCTGTAGTTGGCCACCTGGTTTGCACACATCTCAGGAGGGATTTTGGCCCACTCTTCTTGGAAGATCCTCTCCCAAGTCAGTAGGGTTTGGTGATTGACATTTGGCAACTCAAACTTTCAGCTCCCTCCACAGATTTTCAATCAGATTAAGGTCTGGAGACTGGCTAGGCCACTCCAGGACCTTAATGTGCTCCTTTGTTGCCTTAGCCGTGTGTTTTGGGTCATTGTCATGCTGGTACACCCATCCATGACCCATTTTCAATGCCCTGGCTGAGGGAAGAAGGTTCTCACCCAAGATTTGACGGAACATTGCCCTGTCCATCATCCCTTTGATGCGGTGCAGTTGTCCCGTCCCCTTAGCAGAAAAACACCCCCAAAGCAGCATGTTTCTACCACCATGTTTGACAGTTGGGATGGTGTTCTTGGGGTCATAGGCAGCATTCCTCCTCCTCCAAACACGGCGAGTTGAGTTGGATGCCAAAGAGCTCGATTTTGGTCTCATCTGACCACACTTTCAACCAGTCCTCCTCTGCATCATTCAGATGTTCAGTGGCAAACTTCAGACGGGCCTGGACATGTGCTTTCGTGAGCAGAGGGACCTTGCGGGCACTGCAGGATTTCAATCCTTGTTGGCGTAGTGTGTTACCAATTGTTTTATTGGTGACTATGGTTCCAGCTGCCTGGAGATCATTGACAGAATCCTCACGTGTAGTTCTGGGATGATTCCTCACTTTTCTCATGATCATTGACACTCCACGAGGT